TCAAAATAGTGTCAGAAAGTAAGAACTGCTGAGAAGTGTTTGAGTTAACCAAAAGCAGCTGGAGGGTAGCAGACAAATCTTTCAGATACAGGTCTGAGATGCATCTCGTCTTAAGGTTCTGAAATAAAGTGACACGAGTGGCAAATGATACAACAAGCATCAAAATGACAAAAAGATTACTGATGGACTAAGAGTACAAACAAGTCTTTTTTTGCTCATCACTTAGGTCTAGAAAGTGTGAACACAAAACCATAACCTTTTCTCAGTCAATGCTGCTCTCACCATTTACCTCGTATATTTTGAACACACGCAAGGAAGGATTCTATCTGCTGTATGTAAGGACTGACTCCACAATGTCACCTCTTCCAGGACTGACTTTGAGTAAGCTGATGGCACCATGCTGCCAAGTGTGATAGGAATTGATATTGGATTGTCTTTTTATTTTTTTCCTGGACTGCTCTCCAGTAAGAGTAAAGCAGTCTTTCCACTTGTCCTTTTTCTTTTCTTTTTTAACTAATTAATTTTTTTTTTTAAATTTAGCAGCTCTATTTTCTATGTTGCAGGAGTGCAGGAGAAAATGGGTATAATGAACAAAGGAGTGATTTATGGACTCTGGGATTACGAGGCTCAGAACGATGACGAGCTCTCGATGAAAGAAGGAGACTGCATGACCATCCTGCGCCGGGAAGATGAAGATGAAATCGAGTGGTGGTGGGCACGGCTGAACGACAAGGAAGGCTACGTTCCCCGCAACCTGCTGGGGGTGAGTCCTTCATACTTCCAGAGTCAAAAAGACCCCACCCTAATATGTGGAGTATACAAAGCACTGTATACTCATCATATCTCTTGCATGTAGATGAGGTGCCATTTTAAAAGTCAAGAGGAAGGAGTTTATGTTCTCCGTGTATTCATGTGGGGAACAGAATGGGTTAACACCCTTTAAGACACCTAACACAGATTATATTGATGAGTGCATAAAAGAACAACATATGTCATCACCCTGCTGTACACAGCAGGCTCATACTAACCTTGTCTCACTATCTTAGAGAAAAAACCCTTTTATTCAAATATGATGTGCGCATAAGGGTTTGTTGAGCATGTTCTCAGGCACATGGTGTGATTTTTGGGGCTGTCCCGTAAAGGGCCAGGAGTTGGACTCAATGATCCTTGTGGGTCCCTTCCCACTCAGGATATTCTATGAGTCTTTGTGAACTGGTTTTCCCCATCTTTCAAAAAGTGTTGTACTGACACAAAAGGCCTTAAGAACCGAGGCTTGCATGAAGAGTGAGTCATGAGTCTTTCCCTGTCTGGGTATACACAGTGCACCTTGTGATCTGAGGATGTTTCACAGGTATAAACACTGCAAAATTCTAGGTTATCTTTTCTCCTAGCATTGAAAAAGAAATTACATTGCCAAGTAAAGGCAGATTTTTGTTTTCTTCTATGCTTTTTAAGTAATATTTAACAATAATATTTAAACAAATGGCCTCTCCTTTTCACCTTCTGTACTGACCTTATTAAAAACTGTGTACAAATAAGATATTTTCAATTATGTCCCCATACTTCTCCTCATGGCTGAGTTGCTAGAAAACCCTGGCAGATGGACAAATGTATAAAAGTTCCATTAAGCTTTTTTTCTGCATATCCAGTTGCCCTGCTGCTGGAGATAAAAGGTTCTCCAAAATTAACCACTCTGAATTTTAGCTGATTGATTTATGATGCTTGAAAGAGGCTGAACCTCCTTCCTCATGCAGATAATCCTTACTCTTAAACTGGTTAGATGCAGTTGCTCTGCAAAATCTAATGCAAAATCAGTTTTCATTTCTGTATCACTTTCAGGTCAGGCCTGCCCACAATGTACTGTAAAATTCTCCCTAACGTAGTACTTCTGCTCAGTGATTTCCTCTCCAAAATAAACATTTCTAAATTGAGAGCAGCCATCAGCCCTGCACAGTGAGGTTAAAATAGCAGCTTTTTTATTTTTTGCCTGCCCCAGTGTGAATTGTGCATGTGCTACTTGTTCATAAGCTTGTGCACTCAGCTGAGCACAGGTGTGTAAGAACACAAGGAGTATCTGTGCTTCTGTAAAAAAAACCCCAAAAGCCCAGGGCAAAACAGCTTAATCTAGCGATCACAACTTGTCCTTGTAAGCACAACACAATCCAAACAGAATCTTGGGGGAAAACTACCCAAGCACAGTATTAACTGTTACACTCTTGTGTCTGTTCAGTTGTTCTAGTACTTCCACTGAAATATTCTGTGGTTATTCTCAAAAGCAATTACTGGACTCTTAATATAGCAGCTGAAATCCAGGCTGTGATGTTCAGCGCAGAGGAAAATGTTTGGTAGTTTGATAAATTCTTAAGTTGTATTTATATCATGGTTGTTTTATCCTTTTGCAGTTAGATGTACTGAATAAAAACAAGGATTAAATTATCTGCATCAGTACTCTACCCTGCCTGCTGATGCCCTAGCTCCCTAAGCTGGCAAGATAATACTGGCAAACGAAATCTTTTGAACACTGTCAGGTGTGATGATAACCAACTAATTTCATCTCTGCTAGTGGTGAAATCATAGCAGGCTGAGATGGACCTTGTGGGTAGAGTTGTTGGCTTTCTCTTAATGATTAGTTGACTATGAAAAAAGAAGAAACCAGGGTCTGGTTGAAGGGAGAAGAGAGCACATTTAAGGAGAACTAAAAAACCCAAGATACATTGTAGACATGCATTGCCATTTAGAGCATGGAGAATTCATTTCCCCTAATTGTATGAAGTGTGTCCCTCTATCTTTCATATGCCAGTAGCCATGCTTTTCAGAACAGTAGTTGTTCCCAAAGCCCTTGCAAGTGGGAGCCAAGAGCTTCCCAAGCATCTTGGCACTGTCAGTTGTCACCCCGTACCCTTGTGTGTGTGGCCAGAATGTGTGAACAGCATGTGGCTCAAGGGCCACAGGGTGCCAGGTACCAATTTATGGCTGGGCAGTTAAATGAATTGCACTGGCCACATACTCTCTGCTAAGTAAAGCACAGCTCTGACATCCTTCTGCAGCCAGATGTTTCCAACTTGCCTGAAGATACACATGTAAAAGTTGATATGCATTGAGTGAGAGAAAGCAAACCAGATTTTGCTACCTCTCCAGTCCCCCTTGCAAAACAGGGAACAATCCTACAGTTCACTGAACACTAAAGTCTCTTGACCTACAAAACCATGTGCTTTTCCTGGCCCACCCACCTGGGTAGAGCTTGAAAGTTATGTATTGTGTGCTGTTCAATACTTTCCTTTTGAACTGACATGGTTGGTATTTTTTTTTTTTTAAGCTTGCCCAGGAATGCTAAATTTATATTTGTTAGTGACCTGGGTGTTTTTATAACCATGCTTTTACTACTTCAGATTACATTAGCATTGTAGCACCAAAAAGAAATTTTTTGTTCCTTTATTTTTCTTTAAAAAACCTAACTTTTTAAAGCAATAAAATTTTAAACCTTATTTCTGTTTTACCCTCAGCTGTATCCGAGGATTAAACCTAGACAAAGAAGCTTGGCATGAAATAGTACAGAAGCCAGATTCTTGAAGTACTAATCATGGACGACTTATGAAAAAAAATTCATTTTGTGTTGGTTCCAATATCATGAGACTTATTTCAATGACAATGTAATTTGAAAGCTATGAAGAATGTGCTTTGAAAACAAATGAAGGATTGATGCATTAGCAAATGGATGAGGGCATTGTACAAGATGAAATAATGCTTGCAAGCAAATGAAATTCTGCTGCCTTTGGTCGAAGCAAGCCATTATGTTCAAGTACCCACTTGGGTTTCTTCAAACATGGCAGAAGAGAATTTCACATTTTTTTCTGTATTAAGTACAAGGACCTTTTCAATTTACCATTGAAGGAAACTTGGCTTTGTCCAAATTTATCCTAAGGCTTTTTCCAGATGGGAGAAATTAAAGTACATGCACAGCACCCAACTGCTTATTGCTGGAAGCAGAATGTTTGTTAAAGAAGCTAAACTGAAGTGCATCTGAACAGTGACACCCACCTGACTGATCCATTTAGCAATAACTTTTAAAAAAGCTGTAGCATCTTAGAGATTCTATGTATTCAAACTATTATGTGCTGTAACAGAAAATGTAGTTTTAGATTCCTCTTTTTACAAAGAGTCTCATGTATTTATTGTATTTTGTACTTCGAAGACTAAGTGTAGAAACTTTCTGTAGTCCTTGACAACTTACTTGTTTTTATTCCACTGTGATACCATTAAACTTATGTCTCCTCTTCAGCTTTAACTCTGGGTATTTTAATGGCAATTTTTATTAGACCATGTGAAAATGTTACCAGTACAAAACAGTGCTGTTTTACATTACTATTCAACTACTTTCTGTACTAAATTGAACCCCTACTCCCCCATGCATTCAAGATAGTCTTTTGCATTTAAAATTAAGTTGAATCTGTTAGTTGCACATAAACTTCGTTTATCTTAAAAGCTAAGGGACATACTTAAGAAAAAAGATTTGGTACAGGTGTTTTCCAAATAAAGCCTTTCCTATGGAACTATCCTTTATATCTCTCTATTTGGGAATAATTTGATAATGAACACTATTTAACAGAAGATCAAAAATTTCCTTAAGGGTATTTATGAAGTGCCTCACCCTGCAGGCTCATGTTTTCCTGCTAGGTAAGTCCTTACTGCTTTCTGAGAAGGTGCCTGTAAGTAAAAGAAATGGTTTATAGGAAGGAGGACACAGTTCTTCAGGGCAAACTGAAGTCATCAGCAGCCTGTGCACGATCACAGCCTCAGGGTGTTGATAGGCTGGGTAGGGGGTATATAGTATCAATTACCTATCTTAGAAACCTCTAGTTTCTCAAGCATTACTCTTTTAAAGTATCAGACTGTAACATTTCATGAACTAACAGACATCCAGAGTCAGCTCCAGAATGCTGTTTTTCCCCTTTAAGAGGCAACAAGCAAGCTCTGCTCTTGAAAGCAAAAGCTCTGTACATGTGCTGTGATGATCTATATCTAAGAAAAAAAAAAGTGTTTAGTTGCAGCAGAAATAAGTCTCGCAAACTTTATTTATACTCTTTTTATTTAAATACTTTCTTGCATTTCAAAGGAAGATAAATAAGATACAGGAACTCAAGATTCCACCTGAGAGGATGGGCTTTCTCTTGGAAGAGTCTTGTTGCCAACAGCCTCCTGTTTCAGGCACATCAGTGGTGAGGAGGGAAAGACTTGTCTTTCTGTTTGGTCAAACCTGTACTTGCTATTCAAATTCTTCAAAGAATATTTAACTAGAATAACACTGGGGCTTGACAGAAGGCATACAAGGGACCCTCTGTCTCTGATTACAGGTGTTTAGATAAGATATGCAATACTATCCCTTTTCTAATTTCAGATACGGAGGATGGAGTGGAGCTGTTATTCAAAAAGCACTTATTAAACCACTGTCAAGCTATAATGAGCTTTCTTCCAGGAGTCCTGTAAAACACCTTAAAGACAAATATATTAGCAAAGCAGTATTTTCAGAAGTTGCACTGAGGATTAATATTAAATTAAGGCCCTTGTCCAGAGGGTCTATAAGAGTAGCTAAAGACTGTCAGAGCCATAAAAATGAGGTTCCAAATTCTTCTTGTTGAAGTAGAATGCTTTCCTTCTTGCAATAGCGTGCAAAATTTGCTATGTGTAAGTTAAGGCACATTCATGTTAGGATATTACTTGTACATAGCTTGATTATCTTCACCTGGTCATGCTCTTTTTGAGGTCTCAAGCTGATGCCAGTGGCTCAAATGACAGTAAAGCACAGCCACTGTAACAAGAAGAAAAGGGCCCAAGGTTAAATTTAGTAAAAAGACTTGTAGCAAGTATGCACATTACCATTTCTAGAATAAAGTCAGCCTGTTGTTACAGAAGTAATTTTAGCATCTTTCCTAAATGATTTAAATTTATATCTCATTTAGGTCAAAAGAGTTTTGGGATGATTTGCACGTTCCTCCTTTAGTTGCAGAAATAAGTTATGTTCAGGTCATAAGCACGTCAAACACAAGTAGGAGGGTACTTTTTGCCAAACTTAGTCCTTTCTATAGGGCACACAGGGTGCAGAAAGAAGCAGACATGGATAAGACCATGAGTCACTACTGCACCTACATTTTACTCTGACAACAGAAAAAGCAGAGAAGAAGCCAAAATTACAGCCAGTACAGGGATAAGGGGCTTCTGGTGCAGGGAACCTTGTCTGTCTGTTAGAGAATATGTTGTGATGTAGGTACACTTTTAAAAGCTAACCTCTCTTAAGGCTGCTTACAAATACACAAGCCAGATAAGTCCAGCATATATGTGAATACATATAACCAGCCATAATCAAAATGGAGCAGGACAGACCCTACTGTTTACATCCCTCCCTCCCTTCCCCCAAAAGATGAAAAAAAATGTTTTAGAGCTAAATGAACTTACATTAACAAGGTTCAACTCTATTGTTCCAGTTTTCTCAGTATCCAGTTTTTTAAACATTTCTGTGGTGGGAAAGAGATGACAGATAAGGATGAATATAGGAACTAATTGGAAAGCCTTCCCCTTCCTTGTGCTTCAGGATTGAAAAGGAACTTAGTCCCAGAATCTAAAACTTGACAGTGACCTACACCCCAAACCAGAAAGGGCCAATCTAAAGTCATTGTGCAGAACCAAGACTGAACATTTTTAATTAGCTGCCTAGTATTTTTTAATCAACATACCATTTTTTGCATGAAAGACTAGCTGTGGTTCAGCAGCCTGGGCTTAAGGGCTGATTCCTGGATCTAGGAGAAGCATGCAAACTGGGATGCCAGATTTATATATCAGTTTTGAATTTGTCTGAATACCTTATCCTGGACTTCTGGACAGTTATCCTGCTGCAAACACAAAGTAACAGAGTCTGTCTAGTTATTGAGCGTGTACTCACTGAACAAGGTTTCAAGCCGAATCAAACACCGGACGAAGTTATCAAAGTCAATGATGAGGTCTTCGTCAGCAAATCGAGCCACAATGATCTGATGTAACTGGCAGTTCAATTTGAACCCTAAAAATACATTGAGGATTTAAAAAAAGAGACAGAAAAAATTGTGCAAAAACCTCCAACTAACAAAAAACCCCAAACAACCTTACACACTACCAGAAATTCAATTACCTTCTTTTGGTTAAATTCACAAATTTTAAGAGTATTTACTTCATTTTGGAAACTCCCAACAACCACTTCTGTACTTGGAGCGATTTAGAACTGTGACTAGGCCACATGTGTTCTTCCTGCTGTGTGTGCTCCCACACCTGGACTCCTGTTTCCCAGGGGATATGGCCAATTGCTCCAGCTCATGGTCCTTCCCTGGGTGACAAGGGGGCTCCAGACTCAACCTACTGAGATGAAGCAGTGGCTTTCTGTGGGCAAATGGGTCTCTCTTTCCAAACAGTGTCTAAACATTGGTACAAACTGAAATGCTGCCTCATCTTACATGGTGACGAGAGGGGAAAGTTCCAGAGTGCCAAAATGGACATTAGGATGGCCCCACATGATCAGTAAATTAGTCTGGGATTGTATGGGTCGGTGGTATCTCCCTCAAAACTCAGACTTGCTTTTTCAGTGTTTGCAGTAGCAAACTGACTCCTAGCACTCCTGTAAGCATCACCCCTTGGTCAAACCACTTCCATTCCCTAGGTCACACATCCCAGTTCTACCAGCTTATGCCAAACCCACATAAATATACTCAGAGAGACTCACTGAAAGACAAGAGTATACTGTTACAAGACCAGATTGTTGCAATTATTTGTGCTTCTCCAAAAGCTGATCACTAAAGAAAATAAGTGCAAACCTGCCACTACTTTGAGATGCTTTTAGTGAGCCTGCCTGGCAAGACAAGAGCCCAAGCTGAGCATCTAAATCACATGGAGGCCTTCAGGTCTGGGAACACAGGATTTTTCTGCTTACAAGTGATATACAGGAGACTAGTGAGCATCTATGAACCCAGCTTGAAACTGATATAATCCTATAAAGAGACAGATCAATATAAATACCTGCTGCTTCCAGCGCCCTCCTCATCTCGTAGGAGTTCATGGTACCGGATCGATCCACATCAATTTCCCTGTAAATTTTCTGCAAAACACAGAAGCCAAAGTCAAACCTTGACAATAATTCAGAGCGTGGTTTGGCTTTTGTCAGAAGGGAAACATTTTGAAATGCAGCCTGTGTGTAACTTAGGAGCATTTGCAATGTTGATCTGAAGGACTTGGTGTCGATTTCATCTAAAAGCAGCTTCAGAAAGTAAGTCCGTTACTCTGGAGAATTCCTTGAACACCCATGGCACTATCACTACCAAAGTGGAAAGGCTGACACCAAACTCACACTCTTAAGTAGACAAGTTAAATATTTGGATGAGAGTTAAAACAGGAAGCCCTCCCAGAGTAAGGCAGGAAGAGAAGCAGCCTCTCCTTCAGCCCTTCACCCTAGCACCTGAAGGACAAGCATTCACACCTTTGGACTCCAAGGGACAAAACCTGAGAGACTGAGGACACAAACCACTGCTTTGGGAAATGAGACTGTGCACACTGTATGAGGCAAATCAATCTAAAGCCACCTCTACATGCTTCTCCCAAAGAGATTGCATCTCACCTGGTATTTCTGAATCTTTGTCCAGAGGGTGTAGAACTCCTTCAGTCCCAGTTTACCACTCCCATCATTCTTCTCTGAGTTAAGGGAATTTCTTTGGAGGGAAGAAAAAGGGGTTTTCTCTCCCTGTGCCAAATTTACTTACATGGGCAGTTGTGACTTTAAAAAAAAAATTTGCAAGTAAAAGAAGGATGCAAGTCTTCTCTGAAGGACTTGTCCTCTCTGCAGGACTCATCCTGTTGCATACACAATTGTCATCCAAGATGTCTGTCTCAATCAGTAAGCTGATTAACTTAAACTGTGACCAGTTCACAAGATCTTTCTGCTCCCCTTTGCAGCTCTCTGTCTTTCCTCTACAAGTATAAAAGAGCTGAGATGATGCCATTTTGTTCTGTGTAGTTGGTTCAACACCTGCAGTTACAGGAGCATAAGTCCTAAGTCTGGATTATAAACAGGAAAAGCCACAACCAAGCCTGCTATTTGCAGAACTTAAGTTCTTGTGCAAACAGCTAACAAAAGAATCTGCTACGGAGTCCTTAGGGACTGCCATATTTTACACCAAATTATAGCAGAGCATCACCTTGTGTTGGTAATTTTCTCTTTTTCTAACTCTGCAATTCAACTCCCACTGCACAGAGAAGCTGAACACAACTATTCTTAGACTTGAACCTTCATCCTACACTTTTTCCCATATTCTGAGGAATAAAAGCTCCTAAAATCCTGTGTACTCTCAGCTTCCTGTATTTGTTTCCCTCATTTTCCATTTCCTAGGTCCTCATGGCTTTATGATGCTCTTACCAACTCCAGCCAGATAGCAGAGAGGTGAAGTGCACCCAGATATGCACGTACAGCTCTACAGCCAAGGCCATCCACACCATGCTGAGAGCCAGGTGCCTTTTTCCCAGCACAAACACCACTTTGTCCCCAGCTAAACCAGAACACACAACAACTGGGAAGGTTTCAAAGCAGATCATAACATCTGATAATGGATTTTCCCTGCTGCCTGGGAGAATGCATGTGTCATGGTGAGCAGTGATAGCAAGGGCCTGCTTTTTCAGGGAAACCAGGGTAAAACCAGCTTCTCCACCTCAGATGTCATTACTACATAAGGATGGACCCACCAGGCAGCAAAGGCAGGTCACCTACTTCAGCACAGGCAGAGGAATATCACCTAGGAACGGCCTTAAAGGATACATCTAACAGGTCAACCATTATTTTGCATGTCTCAACACTAAAGCCATCTGATTTAATATCTTGGCCTGTAAAGAAAGAGCAAAACGCAGGATTATCATTGCATGCTGTACCACAGCACCTTCCTAAATAGCTCACGAGCTCTCTAACCAGTGTAGACACACACACCAGCCCTTATTTGCTTCCATGAGATTGGTGGCTTCCTTCGCAGCTGATGAAGAGGCTTTGGGTGAGAGTCAGCTGGGATGTTTCCCCAAGCAAACAGCCCAGTTAGTCTAGTCAGAAGTTGTGCTACAGAAGCAAGAGACAGAAATAAAAGCTTTCCTGCCCTTACTGTCTGCCTTCAAAGACAACTGTAGACTTCTGTGGACAACATGGACTTTTAACTTACAGAGGTGAACAGTCGGTAGCTTCATGCAAGGGCTGAATATCAAATCAAGCTTAGTAACCAGCAATACCCCATTGCTAACTGGCTGGGGTACACAGACATACAACACAGTCCTGACCATCTGGATAACATTTCACTTTGGAAATTAAAGAGACACATTTCTCTAAACACTTATTTCTTGAGCACTGTTTAATGGAAAGGAAAATAATGCAGAGCCAAGTTAGGAATCACTTTACAGAAAAAGCAGCCCAGAGCCTCAAAGTTTCTCCTCCTCCTTAGGGACACTGCAGACCATTGGCTGGGCTACTGTTTGAACCACTCAGGAGTGGTTCAATACTGAAGTAGCAGCCATACTTCTCTTGATTATTATCAAGCACTAATCAAATCTGTCCATATTCTTGGTTGCCAATTCCCAGTGGCAGATGCTGGGATAAAAGACACCCTTATGTACCCTGCCAAAGCACACATCCTGTGAAACACCTTCTGGGCTGGCACAGCCCCAGCCTTTCTGCAGCCCCCTGAAGCAGCAGAGAGAGCATGTGGCTGTGGCCATATGGAGAGCCAAGGGCAGGTCTGGGGCAGAGCCCAGGGCTTTGAGTCTGCCCAGGCTGGTGGTGCCCTCTGTGCTCCCACGGCCACGCTGGAAAGCCGCTGGTGGCCAACTGAAGGTGCTGTCGGAGGAAGGTACTTACGTTTAGCCATGATTTTATTCAAGATGCTGCGCAGTTCAAAGGCTGAGATCTCTGCATCCTGTGGAGAAGAGGAAACCAAATTTTTCACTGTGAGCTGCAGACACCACCTGCAGCCTCTGACTCCTTTGCATGAGCTGGCCAAGTTCAAACATCCCTCCGAGTTCATTTCCCTTGGATGGAAACGCAAGCACTAAACTCTCCCAACCTCCCACTCCCAGGAGCACCACCAATTCCCAGACATTAGCACATCCAGCAAGCTGTGCCCGAGCCCCCAGGCAGCCGAGGGCAGCTGGGAGAGAAGGCACAGCCCAGCCCTCGAGGCACCCCTGTGCCTGCACCATGTGCTCTGCCCAAGGACAGAATTAGGGCCCTGCAGAGATAAAAGTCGAGCCTGCAGTTCAAAGAGAGCTAAAGACTGTTCACCAGGAGTGCTCACAAATCACAGCACGCACAATTATGCACGCACTTGAAATCTGACTCAGCCCAAGAACTAAACTCTGTCCTGGGGGAGGTGTCTCTCTTACCCACTCACCCATGATGCCATTAAGATATTACCAGAAAAATACTCACATTTCCTGCTAGCTGTCCAAAAAGCCTTTTAAAGTTGGGTTCGATGTCATCTTCACTGATCTCGGTCTAAAAGACAGAAAGAGAGAATGTGGAAAGGAGGAAATTTTCTGCCTGAGAAAGACTTTGTGCATTTCCTTGCCCCTAGGAAAACACAATTAAAATGGCAAAGTTGAAGGTAGAGTGTTTTTGCTATGATTTTAATCAGTTTTATTTTCAGGGACACCTCAAAATGCTGGCATTGCAAATGCTGGAAAAAAATCACACATGGGGTACATGCATTAGTAGGCAAAACATCCCCAGCTCCAGCAGGACTAAACATATGGTGAGCTACTAGTTACTCATGGAAACAACATCACATGCAAAAACACCCCCACGGCTGAAAGCTGCACTCTCGGATTCCTGGAGAGCAAAGGGAATTTCCCGTGGCTCTAGTTAACCCTTCAGAGTGTACCTGACCTCCTCCACCTAGGAAGTCCAAGATCTGGATAAAGCACATGTTTCCATTACACTGCTTATGATATTTCCACTTGCTTGACACTCAGTTATGGATACTGAAAGATCTTTTCCCAAAGTTCTTGATAATGCCTATTGAAAAATATTGCTCTGCACAGGGAACAGGCACTCCAACTTCTGCTTATTGACAACAAAACTACCTCAATTTAAAACATTTGAGATACCTCTTCAAAATTGGCCTCAATTTCATCATCTATCACCCTAGAAAGATAAAGAAATCAATATTAAAATCAAAACAGATCACTTTTATGATGCTTTTCCTTCAAGCTTCAGTTAAAGAGAGATTCTTTAAAATATGGAAATAATAATTAGTATTCAAAAGTTACTGGATTAATCAGTGACAGACACTGCATACCACAGGGAAAGCAGTATTTTTCCAGCTATGGCAACACGTTACAAGCCGTGCAATGTCCTGCAGAGCCACAGACAGGATTTTGGGCCACACATAACTCTTTGGGTCACTCAGTGTCACTGCCTAGAGACCTTAGCCCAGGACCAGGCTCTTGGGTGCAAATCAAACTTTATCTAGTCACTTTTTTTTTTCTTTCTTTTTCCTTTAAAACAGAAAAAAGTGAGAGCCCTGAACTGTGATGTGTTTCATGCTGTCCCCCAGGTGCTGTGGGAGCACCACACCTACTTAAGCACTGCTAAGGGCCCAACCAAAGCTGAATGTGTTCTCACACAACAGACATCCCAGCTTTCTCACCACAGCAGAAACATGCAGCAAAATATTACAGGATAGAAAAAGGATTTTGCTTGCTTTGAATCAGGGAACTTAATACAAAAGATATCACATCCCTTCCTGAGGCTTTAGCCCAGCTGCTCTTTAAGATGTGACATCTAAATTTTTTCATGGTTTTTACAGCTAACAGTGTGATTTGAGCCAGTTCTGTTAAAACCCATTTTAACTTCATCCAAGGTATCATTTGGTTGAGCAAGTATCTTGAAATTTTTCCAGTCTGATCTCAATGGTGTGAGATCAATTGTGTTGATCTGTGTGTTCCCAGGCAACTGAAAGCACCGGCATTTCTGTCTCCCAAGGGGACAGCCCAACCTGCCCCCCCCCCGGGGCTTTCTTCTCTCCACAGACTTAACTGTGCTGTAGCACCCACCTGCCCAAGGCCCCGTAACTACAAATGTCTGCTCAAGCAGGGATAATTATGACAACAACAATAATAAAAAGTTGTACTAAATATTATTACTTTTCTTCCACCATTTCTTCCTGCTAAATTTACTCAAACTTTCCTTAGTTGCCCATGAGGAAACTGGGGACAAACAAGAACTGCCACGATCCCATCCATACAGGGTCATTGTGCATCCCTCTTTCCCTCCTGGGAAGTGGATGTACCCCATCCCTGGGCTGTTCCATCCTTCCATGCCTGCAAGAGGGACCAGAGATTGCCCATGTGCTCACACCACTCTCACACAAAAAGGTACGTACGTGGAGTTTGCGTTTTTTTCAGAGAAGACCCGCAGACAGAAATCCCCGTTCTTGTTGGGTTCAAAGGTGGAGGGCACAATGATATATTCTCCTGCAGGGAGCTTGAACCGGTTCAGCACTTCCCGGAGGTTGATAAAGGTGTTTGATTTTTCTCTTGCTTTGTTGGTCAGGAAAAAGTTTTTGCTCAGATGAATATTCGTCTGGCCAGAAAACTTATGCAAGGCAAAGAAAGAGGAAAAACCCACAGTTTGCATGCACTGACATTCAGAAATTAAAAATACAATAGAAATATCAATTAGCTATGTATGGGGGGGGAGAAAAAAAACTCTCAGCTCCACAGAACTGAAAGAGAAGAGAAAGGGAGTGGGTGCACCCCACCACAGGACTCCTGAGATGTGGCCGCAAATGTATTTTGCAGATTATCACAATAAATCATTCAGGTCCTGCTTTTGTTTTGCAGATGATGAAGGGTGTCTGAAGCCATTTGCAAATTCTTCCACCAACTGTTTCTCTTTAGAGTGATATGGCATAGGAGCCATGTCCCTCTGGTCCCTGGAGCTGGTGCCACCTGGAGACGGCAGCTTGGATCTGCCTCTGAGGTCAGGCTGCCTTAAGGCAGAGACCTCACTTATGGAGGGCTCCAAGAATAAAATAAAATAAAATAAAATATTTTGAGTGTAACACCTAGTGAAAGGTGTCCCTGCCTATGGCAGGGGCATTGGAAGTAGATGATCTTTAAGGTCCCTTTCAACCCAAACCATTCTATGATTCTATGATTGTCCAGATAAAACTTTTCTGTGCAGGGGTCTTAGAGGTGGGCTATTTCAGCTCTAGGAAATCCTTGATGATTCCAACATCAGGAATGTGCATGTTTCAGAATCCTCCTCCTTCCTGTCCTGCCAGGTTTTTAAGAATGCAAAACCTGTTAGACCTGCTGCTGTAGTGGGAGATAAAATTCTACCCTTTGGGCAAAGAAAAAATCATGGGCACTAGTAGCTAGAATCTCTTTTTTTAAGGAAATGAGATTTTTCAACCACTAGGGTGAGAGCTGAGTGGCTGACAGTACTGCTAAAAGGTATGTAAGAAATTTAATTAACCGGTAGCACCATATTTTTCGCTGATGAAACCACATTTTACACAAAAGTAGTTGGTTTGAGCATAGTTTCAGGCACCATGGGGTACCCTAGTGGCTTCGCTTGTACGCTCACAGGTACAGCAAAACCAGTAATGGGGTCACCTCGGCATTTTGCTCAACTTCAGTCATTCCTCTGAGGAGCAACAGCTCAGAGGTACCTGCAGCCCTCCTCATATTGCATAGGCAGTGCTGCATTGCCACTCCTCTCTGACTCCCCAGGGTGTACTGTTAGCTATCTGCAGGTAGAAACAGGGAGAAACTAATGAAGGTGGTGCTTGGGGAAATGAATATAAACACTTCCTTGGAATATTATTCATGTGTCAAACATGAACTCTGTGCAGAGCTGGGAAAAGCAGCTGTGCTCTGGGGGAGCAGATGTGGGTCTGGGCTGGGATAAGAGCGGTGGAAGAGCTGCTTTGATGAGTTTCTGCAGTACAGAGCACTCTTATCCCAATCCAAGACGCTCCGAAAATGCAACATGGGCTCAAGGCCCCTTTCAGAATAAATGGCCTCTAAGTTTAGACTCTGTGCAGTCGTGTTGTCCTGTGGACAGGAGGATCCTCTGAACCATTTCTTCCCACAAGCCCTTCAGCCTCAACTCCACCAATACATGCTACATACCTCTGGGGGCACCTGCAAGGAGAAAAGGAGAGAGTTATTTGCCTGTTGAATGGCAGCTCCAGGGCTACTTCTTTTCAGTTACTTAGCAGGTACATCCACACTTGAAAAAAGAAAAAAAAAAGGCTTGAGGGGAAGGTGAATGCTGAGCCCACGCCACACAATGCTGAGTGCTGGCTCAGCTCCCAGCTCCATCCTGGAGGCAGGTGAGGCTCACCTGGGGCAGCGTGGGCACAGCCTGACACAGACAGGCTGGTCATGGCTTCCTGCTGACTCTCCTCCCTGCAGCCCACTGTGCCCACTGTGATGTTTTTTTTGTAGGCTCAATTTCTCTACTACTTCTTCCCACCTCTCCTTTCACATTCCTGCCCCTCTGACCTCTCCACCATCAGGAGAGGAGGCAGTGACTGAGCAAGGAAATAACGCAACTTTCTGTTTCTTTATGGCTTCAGAGGACTTAGCTTTGCTTTAAACCTTATTATCCTGTGGGGACCAGATCCTTTGATAAGCTTTTCAAAGCTGGGATACTGATAAAACAAGCAGTTGTACATATTGCCTGTGGTTACAGAGCAACTCACAGACAAGATCATCATTCCTATTTTCACTGCCACATAAGCGCCGCTGCTTTGCAGCTCTGTCCTGCTTCAGGGGCATCTCTGACCCTTCACTCAGCAGAAGGAGTTTTACAGGTGTTTTTGTTGGTTCTGCTGCTGGTTTCCCACTTCCCAAGGTAGCACAGATGTCCCAGCTAGGGTCACAACCCTACTACAGATGCTCCCATTCTGCTGCTTTCACCACAGCCTGACAAGTGAAAGGGAGACTGGATTTCTGCACTTCTTGTTTTTCAAATAGTTATTCTGCTCTTCCATTTAGAAGGTGGGAAGTGGCCTCTGTAGGTAATCTGGTCCAACCCCCTACTCAAAGCAAGGCTGATATCAAAGTTAATTATTTTGCTCAGGACCTTTTCCAGCCTAGGTCTGAATATCTCCAGATATGTTTAGAGGTGGAAGGAGCTTTCCTTTTCCTCCCATGCACCTGTACAGCCTTACTTGCCTCATAAATTGCAAAGCCAATGGTGTGCATGTCCTCTCCCATCTTCCTCTGCTTCCGCCGGTGCTTCTGAATCAGCCCAATGAGGAAAGTGCAGCCCCCCTCAGGATCATCAGGATCCTCATCTTCTTCCTCCAGCTTGATTAAATACTGTGGATTTGTCCAGAAAGTGTCTGGGAAGTGGATTTATGCAAACTGCTCAGAGGCTTCTTTGAAACAAAGGGTGTTGATGTGCATGTCAGCTAGGACAGACATGGCTCTGACTTCAAAAATCATGTGTGACAAGGGAAACCTCCTCTTCTCCCCCCACCTTTACAACCACAACTTGACCCTCATCAGGGGGTCGCATCTCCCAAATCCCTGCACTTTTTGGACATTAGTCCAAGATATCTCGGGTACATTCTCCTCCTCCATAAGCCACCCCAGACCACCTCCCAGAAGCTCTCACAGAAGGTACAAGTGGACAAGCAAAACATTTCTCCAGTTTTTCTTACTTGGGTAATTCCTGCAACCCCCTGCAGTGGCTCCTCGCCTCCAGTTCCCATCCAGCTTCAGCAGGCTCCACTTCTTGTACCTGTCACTTGCCAGGGTGTCTGGAGTCAGGTTGCAGATCTCCAGGCGGGAGTAATGCCTCAAGAAGTCGTTGAACGCCATCCTGTGGGAGGCAATGCCACTGGCAACGTCTCCTCAGGATGGACAGGTTTTCCATACAACCAACTTACCTATCCTCCCTCTCACTTACTATGATTTAGCACTAGGATTTGGGGTGATTGATTTTGTACACTCATCTTGGAGAGCATACTTGGAGAGGTTACTTCGTGTGAAAAAAAGCTGGGCAGATGACATTCCCTTCTGCCAAAATGGAAACCTAGTGGTATTTACCAAAATTCCCCATCTTCATGTCTCCTGGTCAGCCGCTCCCGCACCTCAGGGTCAACGCCACTCCAGTTTGGGCAGCTGAAAGAGAACCCCATGTCAGCTACAGCATATGGTACAGGTTAAACCCTAATTTGGCTGTTCCGGCACAATGATTTCACTTTCCACAATTGCAATATTCCACAAGATAGCAGCTCCAGAACTCTCAAACCACTGCAGACTTAAAAATATATGAACCCGGCCTATAAGATATCTCACTTCTCAAATATCCAAGGTAAGGATGAGAAGCAGAGCTCTATTTTCAGAAAGTGCTAATGCCATGACTGAGGCAGAGCTTTGTATT